GAAAGGATGGATGATTTCCAAAACTAGTTCCAAAAAATGCAGAAAGAACTTAAGACCCTCCGTGGTAAGGACCTATTTGGAAATAATGCTTATGACTTGTGCCTGGTGCCAAATGTGAAGATACCAGCGAAGTTCAAAGTACCTAACTTTGAAAAGTACAAAGGGAATTTTCGCCTAGAGAGCCACTTGACTATGTATGCCAGATAGATGTCAATGCAAACTGATAATGACCAACTATTGATCCACTACATTCAATATAGGTTATATGGTTCCAATCTCCAGTGGAACATGAGTTTGGATAGTACACAAATCCATACTTTCAGAGATATCGGTGAAGCCTTTGTTCGCCAGTACAAGTATAATGTCGACATGGCTCCGGACATAGACCAACTCCGAGTTATGTCCCCGAAAGACAAGGAAAGATTCAAAGAATATGCACAAAGATAGAGTTTGGTTGCCTCACAAATATGTCCTCCTCTAGAAGAGAAAGAAATGACAAAAATCTTTTTGAATACCTTGGGACAGTTATACTATGAAAGAATGATTGCGAGTGCGTTAAATGATTTCACTAAAATGGTGAATATGGGAATGCGACTCGAGGAAGGTGTCCGTGCATGACGGTTGACCAAATAAGTAGGTACACTGAGTGGGGTTAGGAAATTTGGATGTAGTTTCCCAAAGAAGAAAGAACAAGACTTCATCGTAGTATCATCCAGAAGACCAAGAATAAGGTATCCACAACAACATGTCACAGTTATTGCTCCTATCATTAACCCAACACCTTTGGTTCTAGCTTACCAACCACAGTTCCCTCAACAAGTTTAGCAGCCTCGATAACATTCTTACAACAATCATCAGTCAACATACAATAATCAGCAAAACAGAGTAAGAAGTGCGTCGTGTTTTGACCCAATCCCAATGACTTATGAAGAGTTGTTGCCTGGATTATTGCAAAAGAATATAGTTCAAACAACGGCGCCACCAGCTATCCCGAAAGACATTCCATACTGGTATAAGGCAGGTGCTCAATGTGCCTTTCACCAAGGAGCCCCTGGTCATAGTACTAAAAATTGTTTCCCGATGAAGATTGAAGTCCAAAAATTGGTCAGAAGTGGTCTCTTATCATTTAGAGATGTTGGGCCGAATGTGCAAGCTAATCCACTATCTAACCATGGAGAACATAATTTGAATATGGTATATGGATGTCCCAGAGAATATTGTATATTTGATGCCTATCTATTGAGAGGAGATATGGTGCAAATGCACGCTACCCTTTGTGGAATGATTGAAAGGCAAAACAATGCTTCTTGTCGGATTTGTTGTAGAGACTCACGTGGATTTCATGTTGTGAAAAGAGGCCTTCAACGCCTTCTAGATGAGGGTCTTATAACAGTCACTAGAGACATGAATGAGCATGAAGTGAACATAGTGGATGGTTGCTCTGGAAAGTATCAAGTTTTTGACATCCGGTATGTTAGAGAATCACTAGTTCAAATGCATTCCAGTTCAAATGCCACACGTGAAATCTGCTCTAGAAACCCACGTGGATGCCTAGTTGTAAGGAGAGATATTCAAAGGTTGATGGATGAGAGGATGTTCACCATCACTTACAATAGAGATGATAATGAAGTGGATATGATTGAAGACGATTCTGCTGAATTTATAACTACTGATAATAGTACATTAATTCTCGCTAAGGCGTATGACAAATATACCAAAGAACCTTCAATTAAGGATCTTAACACGGTGGCTCCTGTAGAGATACATGAACACTAGGTTTGAAGAAAGTTGATTGATTTCAGTCATGACTGGTGCCCAAAATATGAAAAGAAACCATGGGGATGTGCTGCTCTGAGAGGAGATCTCTAGATTTTGAAAAACATATGTTTGTTTAAAGAGGGAGAGATATCCATTCTTTCTGATAGAAGAATAAATGAGGAATCAACTAAAGCCACTCTTAATACAAGTATGGAGATCATTGTTTACAAAGGAAAAGTTGAGGATGCTGAAGTGAATGTCATAGTCCCTTATTTCAACATACCCGAATCTATGGAAATAACATATATTAGTCAAAGGGATCTTGTTTCTCCTTTGGTTGTATACCTGCTCGGACCTACTCCCTATGTTTTTGATAAGGTCGTGTCATACAAATACAATGCTACTATGCTTGAAAATGTGAAAGAAATGCCCATTCCTTCTCCTTCTTCTGTTGTTAACATAGCTGATGTTAGTGATTTAACCCGTAGAGATCGTGTGTTCATCGTTATACCTCCAAAGAAATTTGGGAGTACCCTATTTCAAATTCCTGTTGCGATCCTTATTCCTAAAATAGAGAAAGGATAACCCAGTAAGACCAATCTGAATGATGATGTTGATGAAGTTTTAAAAGGTGATAAATCAGTTGTTGCAAACACATTCCAAGACCTCCATACTCTCTCTGTTGATGAATTATGACACACACAAAGAAGCGTTAATGAAAGTACTAGACCAAGCACTCGTTAACCATGATGTAACAATCGACCAATTCAGCGGGATAGTAGGAAATATTACTGCATGTAACAACATGAGCTTTAGTGACGAAGACCTCCCCGGGGAAGGAAATAATCATAATTTCCTATTACATATCTCTATAAGTTGCCTTTCAGATGGTCTTTCCGATGTATTGATAGATACCAGTTCTTCACTAAATGTTATGTCTAAGTTTACACTATCTAGGCTCTCGTATCAAAGCACTCCTATGAAAAGTGGCGGGGTTGTTGTAAAAGCATTTGATGGTTCAAGAAAGACAATGATTGGTGAAGTAGACTTACCAATGAAGATTGGTCCCCACTTTTTTCAGATAATATTCCAGGTAATGGATATTCAGGTTACTTACAACTATTTGTTAGGACGACCATGGATTCATGAGGCAGGAGTTTTCACTTTGACGCTCCACCAAAATCTGAAGTTTGTAAACAATGGAAAGTTGGTTGTGGTAGGTGGAGAGCGAGCTCTTATAGTGAGTCATCTTTCATCTTTCTCCTAAATTGACGTTGCTGAAGAATTTGACACTCAGTTTCAAGCACTGTCTATTGCTGATAAGAGTACTAAGAAGAATGGGGCATTCATTGCTTCATACAAGCTCCTGTAGTGTCATCTACACATGACATAAAAAAGATTAGTAACATTGTAAAAGGGGAAGTAAATATAAAGATCAAATAAAATTCATTAAAGATTAAAGGGCATACAATAGGTTGGTTTGGTTGAATGGTTGGATTAGATGTTGTGATATTCATAACTAAGTCATTTGAGGTAAGCTGGTAAAAATAGTATATCAATATCGTATACATAAGCAAGTGTAAGATCAAAATAGGAATGTTGAAATAAATAGGTTTACATCATTTGGGGTTAGGTAGTCATTCTATTTTTTGTAAATGTTATCCTCGTTAAGTATTGTGACAATTGAATATTGTTAGTAAAATGATTGATACTTGATACGAAATGCCATCTCTTTATGCAACAAAATGTCGAGGTGTGCTAGCCAAATCTTAGGGTTGTCCTCTCCAGCCTATTCAAGCATGAAAGTGTTGTTGTTTTACCATATAATAGAATAGAGCGATATTAACAATAATGAAAAGTCTAATAGGATCAAAATTACTCATCGCCTTCATGAGTTATCTTAATTCCTTAACAGACATTTTAGTAAAGGTTATACATTCCTTATCCCAAAACACAAAGGTCACATTGTGGTCCTCATATTCAACTTCAACTTCAATTTTATATATATATATATATATATATATATATATATATATATATATATATATATATATATATATATATATATATATATATATATATATATATATATATATATATATATATATATATAATAAAGGAGTTTGTTAGAGCATAAGATGTTAATGAGTTAATTTCGAGTGATAAACTTAGTAGCACAAAAGGCTCACTTAATGAGAGGTTCGGCATCTTTAATTCCACATGGACACTCAAATTTCTCGTTGTGTCGTAACCGGAAAAAAAAAAGAGTCACACCATTAATTTTTATCCTAAGACAGAAATATAACAGAATAAGCCTAATTGATGATACAGAGATTCTAAGTTCTTGACTCACTTTAGATGAAGGGAAGACGTTAGGCACCCTTCGTCTACCTTGTTCACAAGGATACTAGGGTTTAGGTTTAAGGTTGAAGAATAGGGTTTTAATCTTTAGTTAGGGGACTCGCCACAGTTTTTAAGTCGTATGCCTACGTATCCTCTTATGAGGAATCAGAGTCCCAAATCGTAGTTCATAGTGTTTGTTGGTGTTTTTTATAAGATTGTGTAGAACTGCTTTTGAATTATCCATGAACCTTGTCTGATTTTGAAAAATGGGTGGTCGTAGACGCAGTTCATAGTTAATTTTGATAGAAATTCTCCTTAATCCTTTTTTGAAAATAATCTTGTAGTTTTTGTTGTGTTAGTAGAAAAAAATGGTTTTTCATTGATTAACTGTTTTGAATTTTAATTTAATTAAAGAGTATAATAAGACACAGAGCGGGGGAAGTCTGATAAGTCTTCCTCCTCTAGTGGCAAAATATTGACCACATGTTACTCGTCGTGAAGGATGCAGAGGGAGTCTGATAAATTCTTCCTCATCACGTGGCCATATATTGGCCACGTGTTGCTTACAGAGGGAGTACCTGAAGAGTTGCGTGGGTTTTAATATCTTCATAAAATATTGAATTAATTTTGATTGAATAGAAGTTTGATTTATGTACACGATTAAATTATTCTAAAAATATTTTTTTAGTGTTTTGAATTTTTAATATATTCAAATATTTTACTAATATTATAAAACAATTATGTACATAAAAAAACAAAATTAAATTAATAACGTACATTAGATACCTTAAAAAGACAAGATAAGTATAAATGATATAGTTAGTATCGAGAGGTTAAATGGCGCAGGGACCCAGTCCTAAAACTAAATTCTAAAAATAGATAAAAAATATAAAAAAACTAATAATGATAACAAATAAAATAAAGATAACAATAATGATACAAAACAAATAATAAAATAAAGATAACAATAATGATACAAAACAAATAAATAAAAGCTAATAACGATAACAAATAAACTAACAACCTTACAGAGATAAAAAAGCTAATAATTATAACAATAAAAATAATAATAAATAAATTCACCTTTTGCAATGCTCTCACGTGTGGTTTCGAAAAAAAGTCAGGAAATTGAACCCTCTCATTAAAATGAATGGGCCCTAGACTAGGCGGCCAAAATCTACGTGGTAACATCGGAGGCGACTGGTTAAAACTTCGATGGTGGCGCTATCTGAGGGCGGTGATCGGAAAGCTGGTCGCAAATGTGTTGCGACGGAGAGCGTGATGCATCCGAGAGAGCGAAGGTTGAAGGGTTAGTTCGTAGTTGCAAAGCAGTGGTGTTGCGCGAGGTGTGTGGCTGCCGGCGGATTCGTCGAAGGTTCGTCTGAGCCGAGCGGATTTCGTTGGATCTGCTTCAGTTTTTTCATCTTCTTCTTTGTTCGACTTTTTCATTTGATTTTTGTGATTGGAGTGTTGTTGTTTTTCATCTCCTCTTCTGCATCTTTTCCCAGATTCTTTATTCATTGTTGTCATAAATCTTCTGTTATCGTGAATGGTTGGTGGTGAGCAGACTGTGGCGGTCGGTGGAGGATGTCTGGGTGAGGAAAGATTACCGGAAATTCTAATACCTGCAAGAAGAAATAACTCACATATTTTTGTTGTACTAGTTATAATTCTAAGAACTGAACTTTTCCAAAAAAGACACAGATCCAACACTGACATCACTCATGTGAATTCATTAGTAGCGTTACTTTTAATTTGTAAAAAGTGACTCAAGATTGAATATGGTGTTGTTTGGGTGATGGACTGCTTGCTGCAAAACGTGTGAGAAAGAAATTTGGTTGTGATTGTTGGTTTTAAAAATTGATGCGGTCTTGTTTATTTTTGAAAAGAATCATAATAAATTGTGATGGTGAAATTGAACGTTTTATGTAAAAAAACTGAAAAAACATAACGTGGATGAATGGTCATAGATATTTGGTATATGTGAACAAAAATTTAACAAGAGTTAGTTTTACTCAAAATTCAAGGGTTTGACCCTTTTGATAAATAGTAAAATTATTTTTGAAACTGAATTGTGTGTGTTGTGAATACTATGTAAAAAATGGCCTATGTAACTTGTTAGTGAATATGAAATTATTGTGAAAAAAATCAAGGCGTGTGTGAGTATGAGGAATGTACCGTGACAATATTTACAGTATGCGTGAATGTAAATTCAGGAATTATTGGTGTACATGTATGGAAAAGTTGAATGGAAGTGAATCAATAATTTTGCAGAAGATGCAATTTTATAAAAAACAATCATCAGGAAAGTCATCATTTGGTTGGAAAAACAGACCGATTAAAATTAAAAATTGAATTGAAAGTAAAAGGGTAGGAGTGGCCTCATATTTAATCATTTGCCAATAAAAAAAAATCAAAAAAATAGTTTTAAAAGAAACCTTGAAAAGAGATTGAAAAAATGTGTGTGAGAAATTGTTTGTGTGTGTTGAAAAGTTGTTATGTGAATAATGTGTGTGGTTGGTTGCTGATGGCTGCTAAAAACAACAGCAAGATTTGTAAAATTGTGAATGAAAAATTATGATGGACAATAGTTTTATTTATAGACTTAGAATTAAGTTAAAAAAACTTGGAAAGTAAGTTACCCAAAAACCAAGAGAAGGCCAAAATTTGCTTTCTGAAAAAGGAAAGAAAATTATTAACAACAAAATAGAAAAAATGTTAAAAATGCAACACAAGAAATTTGAACCCACAACCTCACATTTGCAAGCTTTATTCCTTATCAATTATACTACATTACGCATTTGAAATAATAGCTCAATTGAAAGTATATGAAAGGTGCGCAGATAGTTGCTATTTAAAAAAATATAAATAATTTAAAAGTAAACTATTATATTTTAAAATTGACTTAAAAACGAATATTTATAAAACCTAAAATGTTAGTGTGAATAAATTCAAAATAATTTTAAAATCCAAGTTTGAAAATAATTTCGACTGTAGCACCAAGGCGGAAAATTTTGGAGTATGACACCGAGTGACTTATGGATATGGCATAGGGTATTACCTGGTTTTGAATGCTTCAACTTATGGATGCTCTAAGTTAATGTAAAGTTTTGAGCCATTCCAAGTGTTAGAAAGACTTGGTAATCCAGAAATTGTAATAATTTGGATAAACAGCTGGTTATCATGTAAATAAATTTATAATGTTATATGGAAATAAATAATTGTGAATACAAAACAATTTCAAATATGTATTTGGCTTACACCAAGCATGAGTCAAGATCAGAATTGTAGGATCAACAATTTTATTGGGGTTATTGTAGTTCATGAACTGTTTGCCATAATCACCCCACAACACTACCTCAATACAATTACCTTCAATATCACAAAGAGTGATATCGACACACGACTTCTTACCACCACCTCTTATCTGTGTCTTGACAACATCTTGTAAAATACCAATAATATTTGTTCCAAAAAAACATAAAGATTAGGTCAAAAAAGGTAATAAGACATATCAAAAAAATCATATTGATTGTTATGACCACATAAATTAGTTGTGAAAACCAATAAATGAGATATTTTAAAGTCACCATACAACATATCAGGTTTGAAACGTCCATTGAGAAAGTTAGCATGAAAGTTGAATTTATAAAGGGGTATTTCTGGTAACGCCATATTGGTCACGGTAGTCCCTCCATTGAAGACACGTTTTAGTGGATGGGAACAAACTTTAAAAGGATCATCATTAACAACAGGTTCTCCATTATAAAGATAATAAGTTTCATGTTCCTTTAGTTCTTCTACTCAATCATTAAAGTCTCGACTCCTAGTGGTGACGTGAATTTGATCGCCTTGTGATTTATAGGTATGAAAAAACTATCAGAACAAAATTAAAATGTAAAGACGAATACCACAGTCATACATTTCCATCTTGTATGACCAATTCCAGGGGATGTTGGTCTGTTTTCTCCTTAACAACCGAGAGGTCAACCACCCTAATATGCATCTTCCAGACTTGGAGACCTTTGACTAGGTTATGAATGAAAATGGAAGCCCTTGAGATTATTGTTATTCCAAATCATCCAACATAACAAAAACAACATAACAAATCATCCAACGTAACAAAAACAACATAACAAATCATAAGACAACTACAAAACTAAATAACAGAAGTTGAAAAAAAGATAATAATAATAGTTTCATAAAGCAAACACGGTGACAAACGAAAAACACATGTATTTCTAATGTATTCCTAAAACCACAAAACAAACAATGCTTCAAAAGATCTAAAAGTTACCAAAACAACAACTACAACAACTGACAATGCTTTCAAACATGCGACAATATCCAGAAAAACAACTACAACAACAAAAAAATCTTCATATGTTTAATATTCAAAGTAAATAAAAAAATTTCGATTTATGTTTCATGGCTGGCGAGGAAAATATACCGAGACACATTTTCAAAGCTCAAAATACAATCTTGCTTCTATATTTGTAAAATAGAATACAAAATGACAAAAATGTTAGCTTAAAGGCTCCCAAAAAATGCTTCTGAAGTAATGCGATCACTGTTAAACAAAGAAGTGAGCATAGAGAAAGGAAGATGAATATGAACTTACATGATAGTGTCGATGAAGATGAGAGTTGAGGAAGATGAGGTTGAACGGAAAGAGCAGACTTCACTATGGAAGAGAAAGAGAGCAATGATACAAACCAAGAATGTTATGAAGATAAAGTTGAAAAAAGAAAATTGGATAAATGAGATTGATCCTACCTGATCAGACTTGGACCGTCACGGCTGGCTCCGAGCTGAAGTTTTGAACGAGGTGGGGGGGGGTACCTGCAAGGCACTCCGATGCTGAAGTAAGTAAGAGCATGAGCAGGCAAGAGTATGAGTATGGGTAAAAGAATGAATACCTGACCCTCTGGGAACAGAGGGTATTTATAGCCCCCAGTGCTGGGCCAAGGTTCCTTCATTGGGCCGGGCAGGTTTGGCCTAATGGAGGAACTGCCAGGTTCTACGTGTGTAGTGGGGACCCGCACGTGGTCCCCTTCCTGGATGTTCTGCGTGAAGTACGGACGGACGAGGACGCGGTCTTTTTGGGATCCAGGTGATGGCGTAGTGGATAAAGTCTGCCCTAGGAGGAGTGCTCGAGCTGAGGTCGAGCAGGATAGCATGAAATCGAGGATGTCGCACTGGCGTAGAGTGTCGGGCACGGTTGTGGCCCTTGGTCGGCGTGATTCCTTGCAAGACCGTTTGGATTGGGCCTTCACCATTGCTTTTGGGCCAGCCCGACCCAGTCCAGAATAGGAGCCCCCCAAGTCGTGGTTCCTGTAGTAGGAGCCATGACTTGATCTTAGGTCGCCTGCGTCACGGGGTCCCGTTCTAGGCTAAAAGATGTAGTTCCCGCAGCTTGCTCGAGGAGTTTTCCCCGTGTCGGGCCCATGAGATAATTCCGCTCGAGGAGCTCGGGGACTCTCGACGGGCGGCGTTCGTTGAGCACATGAGGTATCTCTTGGGAACCGTGCCGCCACCCTACTGACGATAGGGTCATCATTGCCTAGGGGAGCTACACGTCGAGGAGGGAAGTTCTGTGGTTCCCCGGGGTGACGTTTCGTATTCCACGTCATCACTATAAATAGGGTCCTTGGGCCCCAGAACGTGTTTTTCCTCTTCGCGCCTCTCCTCTTTCCTCTGTTTCTGCTATTGCTGTTCTTCCCAGATATTCATAGGACCGCCGCGATCTCCGTCGCTGATTCCTTTTCTCCGTCGTCACATTTCCTTCTTGATTCCAAGTAAGTGTCTTGTCTCCTTTGTTTTTCCTCTGTGATGCATGATTTTTCATTGTTTTTAGATGCTTAGAGACTGTACGCCTGGGATTATCCCCGGTATATTCGTGTTTAGCTCGACAAATCCATGTTTATGCCCGGCAAACGCATGTTTGAGCCCGGCAAATGCATAGTTTAGGTATTTAACTAGCAGTGCTGCCCGGGATCTTTATGATTCGGGGTGCCTAATTCTTGGTGGTGCCCGGTGAACTCATGGCTCTAGTTTTGAGACGCATGATATCGCTCGCCACGTTCATAGTCTAGGTCGACATACTCGTGAGTGGTCAAGACGTTGACCCACTTAGGCGATCTGTAGGGAGACTTGTCGTGGTATCTGGGAGTCGGGGAGGTGACTTCTCTTTTTGTTTCGAGACACCAACTTTTTTAGTCGCGCGTGGAGTGATATGGCTTGTCGCGCTCTTCATCCTGTCTGCTATGGCGAGCGTACGGATTTTCTCCCCAATTGACCGGTTTCCTATGCTTTGTAGGTAATCATGGCCGACGAACCGTGTTCCTCGGGGCGCGCTGAGGTGGAAGACCAAAGTGCCGAGGAAAATGTAAATTTGGTTGATACCATTGAGGACCCTTTGCTGGCATGGGAGGGCGCCGAGCCCATGG